TGTATAATATTAAAGTTTTGTTTAACCATACTTTTCATAGAGCACTTTATCTAAAATGCTATCTAAAATGTAATTTGATTATTATTAATCAAATGATTTTTATATACTTTTATTAATTTTAAAAAATAATATAGTTGAATCATTATGCGGCATTATATCAACATGATATATTATTGTATAATTAACTTTTTTTCACTTAAGATCCATCATGGTATATTATATGCAACAATTCATTTAATGACATATTACACTTAGTTAATGTCACATAATAATTATAAACTTATAATCTTTTATGGTATTACAATTATAATATTCTTGATTAATTTTAATTAATATTTTATATATTTTTAGAATAATAAAAAACAAAACTTATAGCTATAATACAGTACAATAAATTACAAACAAATAATACCTAACACTTTAAGATGTAATGGCCCAAAACAAAAATTTAGGATGTAATAATAATCTATCGTTCCCTTAATTTTAGTTGATTGATCATGGAAAAGTACATGATAAGCTACTTTTTTTAATTAGTCAAGTACATATACTATGTAAGAACTTTGTGCCCAAAACACAATTCACAAAAAAAAAAAAAAAAAAACTATTGCACTTAAGGGTCAGAGATGCCACTGTTAAATGGGAGTTATAAACGGTGTTAGGTTGGTGCTAGGGGAGGGAGGTAAATGTAATGGAAAGTTATAGTAGAGGGAGGACTATAGTATGGTTTGGAAAAGTAGAAGGAGAACTTTGAACTATTTGTAAGTATAGGGAGGAAAATGAATGAAAATTAAAAGTAGAGGGCCTATAGTTGGCTTTAACCCTAAAAAATAGATATGTGAACTTTTCACACCAAGAAAAAAAGAAAAAAAACATAATAAGATATGGGATCCACGCTGCTTGGAAACTTGCCAATGAGGAGATTGGCTGGTTTTTCAGAAAGTTCCCTCTACCTCTTCCACTCAAGTGTTTAATTTGTTTCTAGAATCTAGATCAAAAACCTAGATTTGGAGCAAGAATTA